TGGAGAGAGAATCTCAAGCAGACTCAGCACAGAGCCCAAAACGGGGTTCAATCTCACGACCCTGAGATCATGATCTGAGCTAAAACCAGGCACCCCAGATCCATTCATTTTTTAGTAGCATGTTGTTTTACCTACATGTATTTGTGGTTTTTCCTAATTTTTTCTTGTGTTTGACTTCAAGTTTCATAGCATTGTGGTCTAAAAAGATGCATGGTATGATCACATCTTTTTGTGGTTGTTGAGGTCTGAGTTGTGACCTAGTATGTGGTCTGTTCTTGAGAATGTCACATGTGCACTCGAAAAGAATGTGTATTCTGCTGCTTCGGGGTGAAGTGTTCTGAATATGTCTGTTAAGTCCATTTGGTCCATTATGGCATTCAAAACTATTGTTTCCTTGTTGATTTTCTGCCTAGATGATCTGTCCATTGATGTAATTGGGGTGTTAAAGTCCCGTAGTATTACTGTCTTATTATCAATGAGTTTCTTCATGTTTTTATTAATTCTTTTATACATTTGGGTGCTCCCCATATTGAGGATATAAATATTTACAATTGTTAGATCTTCCTGTTGGATAGTCTGCTTTATTATGATATAATACCCTTCTTCATCTCTTATTATAATCTACTCTGGCTTCATTTTGATGTCTATTTGCATGATAAATGTTTATCCATCCCCTCATCTTCAGTGTGCAGGTGTCATTATGTCTAAAATGAGTCTCTTGTAGGCAGCATTTAAATGGGTCTTGTTTTGTTATACATTTTGCCATCCTCTGTCTTGTGATTAGAGCGTGTATTCCATTTGTATTCAGAACTGTTGATAGCTATATATTTATTGCCGTTTTATTACTTGTTTTGTCGTGTCGGGAGATTTTCTCTGGTCCTTTCTTCTCTTTGTCACTTTTGTTCTTTTCTTTCGACTCAAATAGTTCCCTTTAGTATTTCTTCCAGGGCTGGTTTGGTGGTCACAAGCTCCTTTAGTTTTTGTTTCTCTGGGAAGCTCTTCATCTCTCCTTCTGTTCTGTATGATAGCCTTGGTGGGTAGAGTATTCTTAGCTGCTGATTTTTCCCATTCAGAACTTTGAGTATATCATACCACTGTCTTCTGACTAACTAAATTTCTGTGGAGAGATCTGCAGATGGTCTTATGGGTCTTCCTTTGTAAGTTCAGGACTTCTTTTGTCTTGCTGCATTTAGGATTTTTTTCTTTATAGCTATATTTTGCAAATTTAATTATAACAAATCTTGGTGTTGGTCTGCTTTTGTGGATTATGATGGGAGATGTCTGTGCCTCAGGATTTGGATGTCTTTTTACTTCTCCAGATTAGGGAATCTTTCAGCTGTTATTTCCTCAGATAAATTTTCTGCCCCCCTCTTCTCTCTCTTCTTGTTCTCAGACTTGTATAGTACGAATGTTACTTCATGTGATGGAGTCACTGAGTTCCCTAAATATATTCTCCTGATGCATAATTCTTCTTTCTTTTGTTCAGCTTCATATTTGTCTATTATTTTACCTTCTATATCACTTATCTGTTCATCTGCTTCTTTTATCCTTGTGTTCTCATTGTATCCAGTCTGTTTCAAATCTTTCTTATTGCAGTTTACATTTCTGTTTTTTTTTAACTCTTTTATCTTTGTGGTAAGGGCCATCCTGAAGTCTTCCACTCTTTTCTCAAGCCCAGTCATTATCCTTATGATTGTTGCTTTCAGTTCTCCATTCAGGCATATTACTTATATCTGTTTCATTTAGATCTCTGGCTGTGACCTTATCTTGTTTCATTTGGGATGAATTCCTCCATCTTGGCATTTTCCCTAGGTTTCTGATTTATTTGTTTGTTGGAAAAGCTTGTTCTGTTTCCTGCTTTTGAGTATAATGGCTTTATGAAGAAGATGTCATATAGTGCCCAGGGCCTGATGCTTCAGGGCGTGTCTCCGGTGCATGCTGCATGCATTCTGCTGCTTGTTTTGGGAGCTCTGTCCTTCAGGCCAGTCATCTGCAGAGCCTGTCCTTGCCTTCATTGGGCAGTGTTTTGTCCTTGGGCAGTGTGGTGAGTTTAACTCAGTGTACTCTGGTCTGTTTGTTAAATGAGACCCAATACTACTTCCCTAGGCCTGAATCTTTGCATAACTCTCTGGTCAGGAGATGTTGTGTGAGCAGGGGTTTCTGCTGGTCTTCTGGGGTAGGGTCCTTCCAAGGACCAAGGATCAAGGACCAACTTGACCAAGAAGGGCAGTGGGGGTAGAGTGCAGGGGTGTTGGACCTGATATAAGCAGGTAAGGCAGCCACTGTAGGTGCTCTGGTGTTTATAACAGTTGGTTCTTTTTTTATGCTGAGGGGTGGGGGAGGGAAGTGAAACCAGGCAGCTCCACTGTCTCTGGAGAGGGACCTCCGTGCTTGTTCCCAGGGACTCATTTTGAGAAGAGGGAATTATCTCCCCCGGGTGTCCAAGGGCTTCTTTAGATGGCTGTCTGTCCCCAGGTTGTTTTCATGTCTTCTCCCCAGGAGCAGTGCAGTGTGCCTTCCAGACTCTATGCCAGCCATGCTGTGGATCTCTAAAACTCTAGTCTTCAATCCCTGCTGGTTGAAAAACTCACAAAAATCTCCCCCTCTTGTTTTCCCAGCCAGTGGCTTTGGAGAAGTATTCTCCCTGTGTGTTCCCCTGTATGCTTCTCTCTCCCTTATCTTTCTCCCAGACGAGGGCTCCCTCCCCTCCACAACATCAGAGATCTGTTTCTCCCCCAAAGCATGTCCCTGTACTTCCTACCTTCCTCCATGTGGCCTCTTCTATCCCTTTGGTTGTGGAATTTGTTCTGTCAGTCTTCAAGTTGATTTCTTGGGTATTCAGGATGATTTGGTAGTTATCTAGTTGTTTTCAAGGGAGAAGAAGAACTTAGGATCCTTCTATTATTCCATCATCCTAGCTCTTCTTCCAGCGTATTATATTTTTGACATTTATGTTATGTTACTCTTTCATTGTACCTTTTTTATTGTCGTGTTTATCATATTCATTGTAATACGACTTTTTAAATTTTTTTAAATTTTTTTTAAGATTTTATTTATTTGACAGAGAGATCATATGTAGGCGGGGGGGTGGGGAAGCAGGATCCCTGCTGATCAGAGAGCCTGATGCGGGTCTCCATCCCAGGACCCTGAGATCATGACCTGAGCCCAAGGCAGAGGCTTAACCCATTGAGCCACCCAGGTGCCCCAATAAGACATTTTTTAAGTGTACTCAGACTTTCGAATTTATAATTTATTGCTTTTTCCTGGCCTGGTAGCTTGTGTTTTTTACAAATTCAGTTTGTTTCATGTTTACACACACACACACACACACACACACACACACACACCCTGTTGGCATGTAGAAACCATTTATTCTTCAAGAATTTATTTGATAGCATGTCTGTAGAGCAGTGCAGTAGCTGCTGTGAGGGACACATAAATAGAGATGTTCTGATCTTCCCCAAGGGAATTAAAGTCTACTTCAGAGATAAAGTATATCCTAAACAACCAAAGGACTATTAAAAGGAACTGATAAATAAATGCAAGGTAAACTGCATGTGTGTATTGTGGGGACATGGAGTAATAGAACGATATGTATGGTTGGTTTAAGGAAGTTTTTTGGGGAAATATTTAAAATTTTTTCTTACAATGGATTGTTAAAGTACATGCTTATTTTCGAGAGTAGGAGAATTACGATATTATGGTAGTGGGATGAATAACCCAGGGGACAAAAATGATACAGTCCAAAACATGGAGATTAGAGTTGATAGACTCAGAGAGATGCTATGTCTGAAAACAAGAGAGATAAGACTAGAAAATCATTTATAAAGAAGGTGATATGGGTTAGAGGCAGAAAGAAGATTTTATGGGGTAGGGTTTAGAGATCATATAAGAAAGAGCAGCTATAAGTTCTTGAGCGATCAGTTAGCAGGTGTTTACTTCCCAAGGCCTATTACTGGCATTTTTTAGTGTTTCACAGTAGGTCAACTTTTTTTTTTTTAAGATTTTATTTATTGTTTTGACAGACAGAGATCACAAGTAGGCAGAGAGAGAGCGGGGAAGCAGGCTCCCTGCTGAGCAGAGAGCCTGATGCAGGGCTTGATCCCAGGGTACTGAGATCATGACCCGAGCCAAAGGCAGAGGCTTAACCCCCTGAGCCACTCAGGCACCCCTTCAGTAGGTCAACTTAATGAAATGTAGGTTCTATGGAGGATAACATGAAAGTGAAATGCGTAATGCAGGTAGATTGAACAGGAGCCTGTTTTATCCGTCAAAGCAATATGGACCAAGAATGTTAACTGTAATAGTAACTTTGAAATAGAGTAATAGACACTAATACTAAAACAAATAAAGCAGGAAAGAATACAAAAAGATCCGCTTAGATACCACATTGTGATAAGCCAACTTAAACTTTATGGCAGACTTTTTCTAGCTCTGTCACACCATCAATAATATTAATCTTTGATAACTACCACTGTTGAACATTTACTGTATGCTAAGCACTGTGACAGGTTCTTCGCATGTGATACCATGAAGACTAAACTATTAATCTTCAAAACAACCTTGTGAGGTAGATGCTATTATCCATGTGTTATAGATGGATAATTTAGATCAGAGAGGATAAATAACTAACTTCACAGAGTTACCTAATCACAGGGTTTGGGCATTGTCTTGTTTATTCTGAAAGCTGTGCTCGTAACCACTTTTGATTTGTTTCTAAAATACAATTCCCCTGATGGCATTAAAGTCTCAAAAGTGTACATGTGACAGACCCTACTAAACTCTGAAGTCTTTATGTATATTTTTAAAGTATTAACCATGTTTCATATTGTATCGAAACCTTAACAGGTGAACGTTTACTGTGTGGTTCATACAAGGGAAAATGTATACTGAACTTGAAAAAATAAATGAGGTAAAGAAATAAAAATTGCCATTAAAATAGTATAAAATGTAGCCAGTACAATTATCAAAAGTGTATTGTTATTATAATTTCTCATTAGTCAGGATTTACATGAAGATGTTGAAGAAGCTGGTGCACTGCAGAAAAATCATGCTTCTGTGATATCTGGGAACCCCACAGAAGCTGCACATTCTGCCTGTCTGCCTTCAGAAGATGAGTCATTACGCAGTGTGATCTGTGAAGTGCCGAGAGAACAAACTCCAAGCAGCGATCTAGAGACTGCCCTAGAAATACATGATGTGGAAGTAACAGGGGGAAAAGAAAAGCATTATGACAACAAAACTTGTGTGAAGTCAGCTTCAGAAGAAGAAACAAGTGAAAATGTGCCTACAGAAGAAGACACTGCATTGCAACCAAAGAAAAACAGGATTACTTACTCACAAATTATTAAAGAAGGCAGGAGATTTAATATTGATTTGGTATCAAAAGTAAGTACTAATTATCTTCATCTTATCATTAGAATAATACTAATTTTTAATTGATTGAAAATAGCATCTGGGACCATAAACCCAGTTTTCATAATTTTATTTTTTTTTAAGGTGTGGAACATTTGTTTTATAAAGAGATAATAACCAGAGATTTATAATTCAGTTTAAATATTCTTTAAATATAGGTTTAAAAATGCATTTAAAATGCTCAGTACTGGGCGCCTGGGTGACTCAGTCAGTTGAGCCACTGCCTTCGGCTCAGGTCATGATCCCAGGGTCCTGGCATCGAGTCCCACATCAGGCTCTCTGCTCAGCAGGGAGCCTGCTTCTCCCCGCCGCACCCCTGCCTGCCTCTCTGCCTACTTGTGATCTCTGTCAAATAAATAAATAAAATCTTAAAAAAAAATAGCTCAGTACTATAGCACAAGAATTCTTTTGTACTGGAGCACAGAGTCCACTGTAATATTCTCCTACTATATGGACACTATCAATTCTATCAAGAGAAAAATTCTAATGAACCTAATTATAAATTTATGTTATATTTATAGTTTATTAAATGAACCTTTTTTAGCCCTTCTATATAGTAACTATTTTAACATCTGTATGATGATGAACATTCTGAATAAACGGATGCATTTTTTAAAATCATCTGTTCCGGTGTGAGGGCTTTGGAGGATAATTTAATAGTTGGGAGGCTGGGAACAATGCTGTTGTCTTTGGTTAGGTTTCAGTCCTGAACTCTGATGATAGGTCAGTGTAAGTTCAGAGGAGGTCCCGGAGTCTTTGGAGAGTACAATGTTGTATTGGGTTTATAGGAAACAAGGTTAATTTAGCACAAAAAGAACAGAAAACCAACAAGGATAAAGGTCTTAAACGGTTAGATATAGGGAGCACCTGGATGGCTCAGTTGATTGTCTGCCTTCGGCTTAGGTCTTGATCCCAGAGCCCTTGGACTGAACCCTACATCAGGCTCCCTGCTCAATGGAGAGTCTGCTTCTCTTTCTGCCCCTCCCCCCTGCTCCTGTGTGTGCACACTTTCTCTCTTCTCTCTCTCAAGTAAATAAATGAAAATCTTTAAAAAAAAAGGTTAGAAATAGGGCTGGGAGAAAGTAGAAAGAAATAGATCAAATCCCATAAATTGAGGGTAAACAATAAGAAATTAAAAAGAAGTAGGAAAGCATGGTAAATAACATAGACTTGCCTCAAAACTAGGCTTTTCAATTTAAGTGCTCTCTTGAAGTTCCCAGTTACAGAGTAGAGAGAGTAATTGCATATTCCTCACATTTTGCTGATACAATCCCATACACTCATATTGCTGCCCTCTTTGAACCTGATGCCTAAAAATTTGAGTAAATTTTACTACCCTTGGTTTCTTTCTAGCACATAGCTCTCTGTGTCTGATTCTGTCCTCCTCTGAGTTGTGTGCTACTGTGGTCCTATTATTATCTCTGCACCATCTGTTCGACCTTCTCCAGCCACTGTGCCCCTGTCGTGCTTTGAAATGTAGCATTTTTTCCATGTTACCTTAGCTATTGATTTCTGGGTGAAGTTTAATCATAGTTTACTAATGGTCTTCCTGTTCTCTTGAACAGAAAATAAGTTTTACAAAACCAAAAAATAAAACAAAAAAACTGATTTCAAGTGACAAATGGGCTTTGTTCTGGAATTTTCATTTTTAATTAGTTACTAGGAATTTGGAATGTCTAACTTAAAAGATGATACGAATGTTGGTTAAGAATCAACACTAGTTTATAATAGTTTCTAACCCTTATGGTAGCTGAAATACAGTATAAATATTGCAAAGGAAAATGATAGAAGATGGTGCTGTATCAATTTTTGGAATTAATGTAGGAAATTATTCACTTGTATAAAAGAAAGTGAATGCTGATTATAGTGGAGGGGAGATAGTTTAATTAGATGCTAAGATTTTTTTTATACATCTTTTTTTTTTTAAAGATTTTATTTATTTATTTGACAGAGATCACAAGTAGGCAAAGAGGCAGGCAGAGAGAGAGGTAGGGGGAAGCAGGCTCCCCACTGCGCAGAGAGCCTGATGTGGGGCTCGATCCCAGGACCCGATCCCAGGACCCTGGGATCATGACCTGAGCCAAAGGCAGAGGCTTTAACCCACTGGGCCACCCAGGCGCTCCAGGCGCCCCAGATGCTAAGATGTTTGAGGAGACTTTTAAGATTTCTGGGTATTTTCATGAGTTTCACTGGATCACAGTAGTGGTTCTTTTAGGGTAAATTAAAAAACAGATGTGTCTAGAGCAGTCAAGACCGTTGTACTTTGTCCTGCATAGTAGTTTTCATGGTTTTACATATTTAAAAATAATCAATAATAAATTCATCCTGTAAAAGCAGCAATAGCTAAAGAATGTAGAGCCATAGAAATATAAGAGATTTATTATCATTTTTTAATGTTAGTCATTTAGTGAATATTTACTGAGTACCTGTGGTGTGGAAAGCAGTACATTCCACGATATTGGGGCAGTTACTCCTTGGAAAGTCGGTCCTAATTTCAGTTATTGCATCTACATTTAGGATGATTGCCTAATATCTATTTCAAGCCCTACCTCTTTCCTAAAGTCCAGTTTGATGTCTCCAAACTACTTGACATTTCTACATACATTCCATCTCAAAGTCATTATGGTAAAATTGACACATTACTGTGGTGCTTTATTGTTTACAGAACACATCCACATAAATATAGGCTTTTTTTCCTATTTCTTCTTTTTAAAATTTTTTATTAACATATAATGTATTATCTGCTATAGGAGTACAGGTCTGTGAATCATCAGTCTTACACAATTCGCAGCACTCACCATAGTACATACCCTCCCCAGTGTCCATCACCCAGCCACCCCCACTCCTCCGCAACCCTCAGTTTGTTTCCTGAGATTAAGAGTCTCTTATGGTTTGTCTCCCTCCCCTGGTCCCATCTTGTTTCATTTTTTTCCCTCCCCGCCTCCCACAACCTAAGTAGTCTTATATTACTCAGGGTTGGTTAGTTAAAGTACTTACCATTTTTATATATTAGGTATAGTATTATTATAGGTTAGTTAAATAAAATACTTACCATTTTTATATAGTATATATAGTATTATTATAGTATGATATACTTCTTAGAGTAATAGAGAAAATCAAGGTCAAAGTTCTTAGAATTAAAACTCTTTTCCAAAAAGTCCATACCCTTAATTATTATGGAACCAACATGGCCAAGTGAAGCAAAGATGATACATTAATTATTAAATTTAATTCTCAATATTTTAATAAAAATGAAATATTCTTATTTATTTTTACTTAAGTATAATTAACATACAATATTGTATTAATTTCAGTTGTACAACATATTGATTAGACACTTCTGTACATTTACTCATTGCTCACCACGCTTACTCACCATCTGTCACCATGTAACATTGTGATAATATTATTGACTATGTACCCTGTGCTGTACTTTTCATCTCCATGTATAACTGTAAGTTTGTAACTTTTTTTTTTTGAGGGTAAGAATCTTTAATTACACTCTGTAGATTAAAAAAAGTAACTCTTAATTCCCTTTTTCATCCAACCACACCTACCCATCTCTCTGGCAACCACCCAGTTTGTTCTCTGTAGTTAAGAGTCTGTTTTTTTGTTTCTTTGTTTAAATGTTTTCTGTTCTAGATTCCATATCTGAGTGAAATCATATGGTGTTTGTCTTTCTCTGACTTATTTCACTTAGTATACTGCCCTCTGAGTCCAACCATGTTGTTGCAAATGGCAAGATTTCATTCTCTTTTATGACCAAGTAATTCTGTTGTGTATATATAGTATACAACTTTATCCATTTTTCTATTGAAGGATACTTTGTATTCTTTAGTTTCTCATCACTGAAATTTCTGTTAGATCACTTAGAGAGTGGTGAAAAAGAGGCTTAGGTTTAAATACTATACTTGTTATTACTAAGCTTCAGACAAGTTTAGTGTAGTTTTAATTGAAATGTGTTCTCACTCCTCAATGTTCTCTTAAATGCATTATTTTTAAGCTGGCATTAAATCTTAAGCTTTACTAGATCTTATTAAGTGAAAATACATTTTATGTTTGTATTAATATTTGTGAAATTATTGTGACTACTGAGGGATCATTCAATTTCAAGTATTGTTTTTAAACAAATTAGGTATTTGAATAATCTATTTTTTATTATAATTACAGAATACTTGGCAATTTATTCTTCAGATCATGGGCTGTATCAGTTGTGTAGGGTATTAGGCTGAAGATAATGAAATAACATGCTGTATTTAGTCAAGGTAATTGGATTAGTACCCCCCGCCCCCGCCAAAATAGCAATGCCAGTTTTGTTTTGCACAATGCTGGGCTTTATAAAAATTCACCTAACTAATATTGATTTTCAGAGTCCTTACTGACCTCTTGGATGCTCAGACTAACAGTTTGGATTGATTTTTGAAATTCCCTTTCTCTTTGTATTAAAGCTGATTGTTTTTTTTCCCCTCCCCTATTAGAGATGTAGCATTTACATTTTTAACATTTATTGAGTCAGACACTTAAAAGTATATCAGTATAGGACATTGCCGAATGTGTTGCACTTAACCATGTGGTTAAATTTAGAACAGGCAAGATAATACTGTTGAAGTTGTTTTTGTCTAATATTGGTTATGAGAGATGTGAAAGATTAAATCAATTCCTATTGTGCATGCTGGCAATAACTATCATCCTCACTTCTTGAGAAAGACATATCTCATATAAATCTAGACTGCTAGGATTATAGAGGGACCTTAAAATTCAACTCTTGTGGTGGAAATATATAACCACTCTTTTTTTTTGTTGTTTGGTGAGGAAGTCCAGCGAGCTGGTGTCTTCTTAATAACCACCTGCCCTTATATAAGGCTACAGTCTCTTATTCAAAACACTTGGGCCTGGTGTGTTCTGTTATTTAGATTTAAAAAATTATTTTGGGAAATAATACACTACATGTTCTGGTATGCTATATATGAGGCAACATTCTTAGCAGTCTTTAATTAATTAAACTAATTAATTAAACCTATTAATATTTCTGCAGTCAGATGTACGAATATTCACAGTAAGCAGGGCAAAGATAGAAGAGCCTTATAACAGTTTGGGTCATTTTGTTGTCAAACTATTTATGGAAAAACTTTGGATTCCAGAGTTTTTTGGGTTTTGAATTTCAGATAATCAGTTGTAAACCTGTAATAAAATATGTTATGTACTGCAATATTAATATGTATAATGCTTTTTACAAATATTTAAAAATATAATGGAATTATATGTCTTTATTTAGCATTTATCTGTTTTTCCACAATTTTGCCTTTTACTTCATCCTGTAAAATATTTTCTTTGTACAGCTGCTGTATTCTCGAGGATTGCTAATTGATCTTTTAATCAAATCTAATGTAAGTCGATATGCAGAGTTCAAAAATATTACCAGGATCCTTGCATTTCGAGAAGGAAGAGTGGAACAGGTACTTTGCTTACTCAAGTATTGCGATGGAGTATGAACTTAAGTTATTATGATTTGTTTGGAAGGATAAGCAAATAGGATTGTTATTTTCCTGGCAAAGCAGTGAATTCCAATCCCGTGTGGGAAAAATAAATAGTTAAGAGGTTACTCAATTAAAATTTCTACTGTCAATATTTTCATGAGTTATTCTGAAGCCTGATGTTGGTGTTGAGAAATGGTTAATATTAGGCAGTATTGCTAGATTTGAGCTGTCATTTGTACCCAGTTAGGGGTGACATGCCATTGGCCTTTTAATGGCATAAAGAGCAACTTGGCAGAATTAAGTAAGAGAGCTCACAAGTTAATTAGCTTTGAACCTAACAGAGATGCCATTAGAACTGATGGAAGGTAACACAGATGGCTAGAATGGAAATAATTATCTTATTATAGTTAAAGGGGAAAAAATGTGATTTGGAATACTTGTATCACTAGGAGGCAGTTTCTTAACTTACAATCATGTTTTTCAGGTTCCTTGTTCTAGAGCAGATATCTTTAATAGCAAACAACTTACTATGGTAGAAAAACGAATGCTAATGAAGTTTCTTACATTTTGTATGGAGTATGAAAAACATCCTGATCAATATAAAGGTATTGTTTGCCATTAAATTGTGTTCTCTAATTATTTGAACTTTCTTATTTTAATATGCTTGCTCTGATGTAAGCCACCATGTCTTTGTTAAAGTACATTTCTTACTCTGTACTATCCAGTAGGTTAGCCAGGAACAACATGTACTTATTTAAATTAAAATTAATTAAAATTAAGTAAAATTTAAAATTCAGTTCCTCAGTTGGACTAGCCATATTTGAAGTGCTTAGGAGCCACATGTGGTTATTAGCTACTATGGCTACAGTACACCTATAGAATGTTTTCATCATTGTGGAAGTGCTATGCTGGGTGTTTAGTTTTTATTCTTACTAATTAAATACTGCTGTCAACTAATTCTTCATAGATGAAAGTCTCTTTTCATTGTTCTTTTAATTTTTTTCAGCAGTGAAAAAAAATCTGTGTATTTTTTCATTTTCCCAGGATTACTTTTCTTGGTATATTGACTTACTCATTTTTACTGATTAAGAAAAAGAGGCTAGATGGTATGGGGAGTGTGAACCACTGTATTAGAGTCTAGTCTTGGCTTTGACCCAAATCATACAGTTACTTCAGAGTCTGTTGAAAATTGAATATCTCAGTATCAGAGCTTTATACTTTTTAGTGCACTGGGCTGGAAACATTATCCAAAATCAGAATGTTCTATTGATGTTTCATTTATAAAGTTACAATGAGAAATATAGCAGTATTTTTTTTAGTTGATGGAATATTAGAAGTCAAGCTCTTACTCTTAAAGCTTCATGTCCATAAGATACTACCAAATCATCCTTCACAGTGGTGTAAACTTATGTTATCTCAGTAAATTTTTATAATCTTTACTTTTTTTCTTTTGTCACGGAATTGTATTTCCTACCACTAACAGTCTAGTTACATTTTTTTTCCTCTTCTTTAAATGCGTAGTTTCTAGGTCCCTTGTTTTGAGGTGTGATGTAAGGCAGTAAGACTGGTTCCATTAGCCACACAGAAATTACCTTCATTACTTTTTAGTCATAGTTTATTGTTCTTAGTTTTAGTAAGAAATACACATTTCCAAAAAATTAAGTATCGCTCTATCACTGTTTTCATCAAAAAATTGTCGTTTGTCATGTGTATTTAATATTTCAAAGTGTACTTATTGACATTATTGGGGTGCCTGGGTGGCTCAGTGGGTTAAGCCTCTGACTTCAGCTCAGGTCATGGTCTCAGGATCCTGGGATTGAGCCCCGCGTCGGACTCTGCTGAGTGGGGAGCCTGCTCCCCCATCTCTTTCTGCCTGCCTCTCTGCCTACTTGTGCTTGCTCTCTTTGTGTCAAATAAATAAATAAAATCTTTAAAAAAATTATTGACATTATTTGGAAATTTAAAGATAACAAAGTAAATATTGCCACTTATGTAAACCTATTGTGATGGTTAATCAACTACTTAATGTTTTTCTAGTTTTTTAAAAATTTATTTAATTTTTAAATAAAGATTCATCATTTAAAGCTTGGAAATTGTGCCATTAGTTCAATTAAGATAGTAAAATTATTTCTAGTTCTTTTTTTCCCCTAACATCTGTGGTCTCTGTTCAAAATGTAATATTATACCACCTTGGTCCCTTGCCAAGTGTCTTGAACAGGCTTGATGTATTTTGTGCAGTGTTTTTAAAGTGAAGTTTGGTTCTAATTTTAATTGATAAATTTTTATCTTTACATAGCCTATGAGGAGATTACATTTTCCGAGTACTTAAAAACACAGAAATTAACCCCCAGCCTCCAGTACTTTGTCCTGCATTCAATTGCAATGACATCAGAGAAAGCCAGCAATACCATAGATGGTCTCAAAGCTACCAAAAACTTTCTTCACTGTCTTGGACGTTATGGCAACACTCCATTTTTGTTTCCTTTATATGGCCAAGGAGAACTTCCTCAGTGTTTCTGCAGGTAGGATTGACATTGGTTCTCTTGTCTCTTCTTAAGGTAATACTTAAATAATGGATGAAAATTAAAAAGACAAAAATGAGATTTATTCAAGATTTTGTATATGCAAGCATACTTTGTTGTCCTCCTCTTTTATAAATCTCTATATTTGCCTACCTACGTATCTAAATGATATATTCAGTTTGGCCTGTGAGTGAACTTCGTAAAATAAAACCCTACTGTAAATTCCTTATTTCACTCAATATTATGTTTCAAAGCATCTTCCTTGTTTTGCATAATTACAGTTATTTTCATTGCTATGTAGTATTCCACTGTGAATACACCACAGTTTTTCCATTTTTCTTCTGGTAGACACAAGGTGTTTCCAGGATTTTTTTTTTGTTGTTGTTGTTTTGTTTTTTGTTTTGTTTTGTTTTCTGCTATTAACATACACATCCTTGTGTATGTTTCAGGATATACATGTTCAAGAATTTCTCTAGGATATATATCTAGGAGTAGAATTTCCAAGTCATGGGGTATATGAATATTCATACAAGAGAGTACCCAAATTTTTCTCCAGAGCATTAAACAAGTTTATCAGTAGATAACAATTTCCATAGGTCTACATCTTTGCCAATGTTTGTTAGTAGATTTTTAAGTTTTTTTCAATCCGACTCACATGAAATATCCTCGCATTATAATTTTATTTTGCATTTCGTAGATTACTTATGTGGTGGAACATCTTCTCATATGGTTATTGGATATTCATGTTTTCTTTTTGGTGAAATGCATGTTTCTATGTTTTTCCCATTTGTCTATTGGGTTATTGTATTTTCCTTATTGATTTATAGAGTTTTTATTCTGAATACTAATCTTAATTGTATGTGTTGTATATATCTTGCTTTATGGTATTCATGATACATGAGGTCATTAAGATTAATGTGGTCAAACATAACAATCCTTTCTTTTTATATGTAGCACTTTTAGGGCAGTGGAGCATAGTAGTGAAAAATCTGGACTATGGAGACAGACTACCTAGATTAAGTCCTGGCTTCTCCATTTGTTGGCCATGTAACCTTGAGCAAGTTTCACAGCCTCTCAGTATGTTTTCAAAGAATCAACTTTGTGGCTTTTTTATTCTTTCTATTATAGCTTTGTGTTCCTAGTTCGTTCATTTCCATTCTTTATTATCCCTGTTTTGCTTTCTTTGGGTTTTATTCCACTCATCCCTCCCCTTTTCTGTCCTTGCCAATTCTTAGGATGAAACCCAATGTTAAATATATATCTTTTTTTATTTTCTAATATAAGCATTTAAGATGATAAAAGTGCCAACTCCTGTTTTGACTCTTCACAGTTACGTATTATTTTCATTGTCTTTTAGTCCTAAATATCTTAGTTTTCATTTTGATTTTTTCATTGACCCATGAATTGCTATGAGAGGTTTTATTTTATTTTATTTTATATTTTATTTTAAAGGTTTATTTATATGACAGAGAGAGCACAAGCATGGGGAGCGGGAGAGGGAGAAGCAGAATCTTGGCTGAGCAGGGAGACCGATGTGGGGCTCGATTCTGGGAGTCTGGGATCCTGACCTGAACTGAAGACAGGTGCTTAACTGACTGAGCCACCCAGGCACCCCATTATGAGAGGTTTTAAAATAGCTGATTTGGTTCATTCTTTTGGTCTTACCATCTAATTTTATTATAGAAAATTAAGTTATGTCTGGAAAATAAGTTTTTTTAAAATTTAAATTCAGTTAGCCAACATAGTGTATATCATTAGTTTTTGATATATGTTCAGTGATTTATTAGTTGCGTATAACACCCAGTGCTCATCACATCACATGCCCTCCTTTAATGTCCATCACCCAGTTACTCCATCTTCCCATCCTCCTCCCTATCCACAGCCCTCAGGTTTTTTCCCCAAGTCAAGAGTCTCTCATGGTTTGTCTCCCTCTGAGAGTTTTCCCTCCCTTCCCCTATTGTTCTCTGCCCTCTTTCTTATATTCCACATATTAGTGAAACCATATGATAATTGTCTTTCTCTGATAGCATGATACCCTCCATTTCCATCCATGTCATTGTAAGTGGTAGATATTCATCCTTTCTAATGGCTGAGTAATATTCCATTGTATATACAAACCACATATTCTTTATCATTTATCTGTTTAAGGACGTCTCGGCTCCTTCCATAGTAAGGCTGTCATGGACATTGCTGCTGTGGAAAATATGTTTTTGTGGTATTAATACTTTGAACGTTATTTTATGAATTAGTATATCATGAATTTTTGTAATTTTTCCGTTTGTGTTCAAGAAGAATGTGTCCTTGGGCACAGGGTTCTCTAATTATTGGTCTTGGAGCCTAATAAGGTAGACTTTGGGTTGTAATTTGCAATTTTTTTTTGTGATTTGCAAATTTTATTGAGTTTTTTTTTCCTTTCATCTACCAATAATAAAGTATTTTTTAAAGGTAATTCTTTTTTTAAAAAAAGATTTTATTTATTTATTCGACAGAGATCACAAGTAGGCAGAGAGGCAGGCAGTGAGAGAGAGGAGGAAGCAGGCTCCCCGCAGAGCAGAGAGCCCGATGTGGGGCTTGATCCCAGGACCCTGGGATCATGACCTGAGCCAAAGGCAGAGGCTTTAACCTACTGAGCCACTCAGGTGCCCCAATAATACAGTATTTTGAAATCTCCCATTATGATGTTTGATTTGTCAATTTCTCCCTATAATTCTCTCAATTTTTACCTTTTACTTATTTTGAGGCAATTTATTAAGATCATTTAAATTTATAACTTTAATCTTCCTGATGAATTTAATATTTTACATTATTTGCTGACTTTCTCCATCCTTAATAATGCGTTTTTTATCTTAAAGTCTACTTTGGTATTCAAATAGCTACTACAACTTATTAGTATTTGCCTGTTACGTCTTTCTCCATCTCTGTTTTTCAGCTTTTCTGAGTCTATATTTGGGGCTATAAATAGCAAATTATTATATATTGTTAATCCCATCTGACATTCTCTGTCCTTTACCAAGCAGAAGTGGATCTTGTTAATAGGAGTCTGTTCCTTTCTTCCGAAGTATCTAATTTTAAAAATTCCTCTAGTTAACATCTGTTGGCAGTAAATGCCTAGTTTGTGTGTTTATGAACAAAACTGGTTTTTTTGCCTTTTTGTCTTGAGTGAAGATTTGTGAGGTAAACATTTCTAGGTTGGCAGTTCTTTTTTCTCAGTACTTTAAAATTTTATTCCACTGTCCTTTGGATTCCGTTTTTGCTTTTGAAAAATTGGTATCAGTCTAATTGTCATTTCTTTATAAATCCTATTTCTTGTCTCTCAGGTTTTTTTTTAAGATTTATTTATTTATTAATTTGACAGAGACACAGAGAGAAAGAACACAAGCAGGGGAAGTGAGAAAGGGAGAAGAAGGCTTCCTGCTGAGCAGGGAGCCCCATGTGGTCTCCAATACCAGGATTCTGGGATCATGACCTGAGCCAAAGGCACACGTTTAACAACTAAGCCACCCAGGCGCCCTCTCTCAGGTTTTGTTTTGTTTTGTTTTTTTAAAGATTTTATTTATTTATTTACAGAGAGAGAGAGAGAGAGAGAGAGATCACAAGTAGTCAGAGAGGCTGGCAGCGAGAAGGGGAAGCAGACTGCCTACTGAGCAGAGAGCTGGATGTGGGGCTCTATCCCATGACCCTGAGATCATGACATGAGCCCAAGGCAGAGGCTTAACCCACTGAGCCACCCAGGTGCCCCTCCAGGTTGTTTTTATGATAGTTTGTTTTTGGTATTCTGCATTTTCACTACAGTGAATTTAGGTGTTTCTTTGTCTTTATCTAGCTTGGTATAGGTTAAACCATATGTAATTAACAATATTAAACCATTTTGACCTATACTTCCATATGGTTCAAACAACTTCAGTGTATTTCCTCTATTTGTGTATTGTCATTTATCATTTTGGAAAATTATCAGCCAGAATCTTTGCAAATACTGGTTTCCCTCCATTGTCTCTCTTCTCACCTTTTTGGAACCCTAAATAGAAATGTTTTAGAATTTTGTTTTCTTTCATCTCTTTCTTAATCTCTCTTTCATGCTTTCTGTCTCCTTGTTATTCTGGCTATATCCTGGGTACTTTATTAAGGTCTCCTTTCCAGTTTATTAGTTCTCTGTATTTGTCTCTGATACGTAGTTTATTCCTCTTATTTTTTAATTCAGTATTGTAATCTTTGATTTGTAGAAGCTCTGTTCCTTCTCTCCCCAACTCTTTCTTGTTGTTTGATATTCTCTTTTGCTTGTTCATTTTGTTCAATATATCTTACATTCTGCCATGTATTGTTTCTCTTGATTCATGTTATTGGTTTAGTTTTTTGGGCCATGCTTATCTTTGAGAGTTTATCTTTGATTGGTTTTAATCTTTGGAAATCTAGGGATCCAAATTAAGGATGCTTTCCTTCAAGGATTATTTGTGTTTGCTTCAGCTGGAAGGCACTAAGATTTGGGACCATTTCATTCCTTTCAGGGGATCCTTCTTTTTTAAATTTAAATTGAATTAGCCAACATATAGTACATCATTAGTTTCAAATGGAGTGTTCAATAATTCATCAGTTGCGTATAATAAGAGGATCCTTTCTTATTAAAGGAGCCCCAGGTACAGCTCCCACAGTGATTAGAATGAGCAACAAGACTTTTTTTTTTAAACATAAAAGTAAAACTTTATTAGAAATGCATCTGTTAGAATAAACCAATAGTTATGAGACTGGAACTGGGTGAGGGAATGGGTTGAATAGGTGATGGGGATTAAGGAGTGCACTTGTGATGAACCCTGGGTGTTGTATGGAAGTGTTGAATCACTATATTGTACACCTGAAAAGTAAAATTACATTGTATGTTAACTAACTAGAATTTAAATAAAAACTTAAAAAGTGCATCTCATAGTGACATGACTGTTTAAAAACATGGTTCATGTATCTTGGGAAGACTGTTACTTATGGCTAGAATGAAAACTTGCTTTTTTAAA